TTCCTGAGTGCCAGGCCCTGATTCCATTACCAGGAATCTCCTCAGTCCGATTCCATCCAGCTGAGAGAAAACTGAGTCTCCAAGGTGTCACCTGGCAAAGCCAAGCTGGGAGTGAAGGAACAGCAGCCGTCCTCGGAGAGAAGGCGAAACTGCACCACGTGGTCAGGCAGCTTCCATGTTATCACTCACCCTCTGGCTAACCTTCTGGGTAGGCTGTCTCACTGATATTTGCAAAAGGAGGAAATGTGGCTCAGGGAGATGGCTTGCACAAGTCGGTTTCCTAAACTTGCCTCATCACAAGAATCCCCTGGGGAGCTTACTTAAAATACAACTTCCCCAGCCTCCCCTGATCCCAGCCCTGGGAAATCTGGATTTTCAATAAGTACCTTTGGTGATTCATTTCAGGCAAATTGAGTGAACAGTGTCTTTACAACAACAGTTTCCCTATCCGTGGCCTCAAATCATTTCCCTAGAGTCACCCCCATTATGCCATACCCCGGATGAGGGTAGGGGAGCTGCAAGGCTACTTGGGTCATACTTCAACCTGAGATGCCTACAGACCCCTGGCCTCTCAAGCCCCAGCCCCTAGGAATATAGAGGGGGTGCCTGAGTTTCCACCTGGGGAATAGGAGCTGACAGGACTGGAGCTATTCCAGGGTACCAGGGGGCCAGAACACTCTGCGCTCCTGCCAGGTCTGAGTATCAGCCTGGACTAAGAGGCTATGGCTTGTCCCCTGTTGCTATCCATACTCTGCCTTCCAGAAAATGGGACAGATAAAAACAACACACTGAAGCAGGAATAAACAGAGAGATACAGATAGGCCTCCTGCCTTACCTGCTGGTCGCCGATGCTGGCGGGATGCAGCTCTGACACCCTGGCCGCCTGCTCAGCCCCCAGGTTGTTTGAGCCCATTTTCCCTTCCCAGTCTAAGGAGGAAGGGGCCTAAGGAAGATACATTTCGACTTGTAAGTGTGAGAAGAACAGTAACTGGAATTAACTATAGTGCTGGAGGGACAGAGGGAGGGAAGGGAGCCTGAAGTAGGAGAGAAAGGAGGTTTGGGAGAAAGCATGGAGCCAGACAGTCCTCCGCTTGGCCACCAGGGCGAGCCATCAGCCAAAGACAGTTTGGTTGCTGTCTGAAAGAAATGGCGTGGAGGTTCAGGGTGGTTGGTAGGTGAAATGGGGTTCAAAGGACTTCCCTAAATGTGCATAATAAGTTCAGGAAAGGGAATTAAAGGGACAAGAAGAGAAGGAAAGGGAGAAAGATGGAGACATTTGGAGTATGAGCTATGCGTCAGGTTATGGGTGGGGCTCTCATCTGGCAAATGTCCATGGGGTGCCAGGCACCGCGCTGCGGGCTTCGCATTTCCTAGCTGAATCTTCAATCTGACTGCAAGGCAGGCATCATTGGCCCCACTGTACAGATAATAAAACCAGGACGTTTAAGTGACTTGCCCAAGGTCATACAGCTGTAAGCGGTGGCTCCTCCAACAGGCTGCGTCTGGGGAAAGGGGGTTACGGGACCAGTCTAAATGTCTGCCTCCTGCTGGATTGGAAGCCCACGCCCCTCTCTGCTGTATGTACACACTCGCCCCGCACAGTGAATGTATAAATGTGGGTTTCATTTGTAAGGCCTTAGGTTGGCTCGGTACAGGATGAGAGATAGCCGCCCAGCGTTCTCTCCCAAAATATGCGCTTAACATTGCAGCCAGGGAGTAAGGGAGAACACTTAGAAAGGGGTTTTCAAAGAAGGCAGGAGACTCGGATTTTGGCTGAAGAGCTCATTTGTCTGTTCTCTCTCTCTCTCTCTCTCTCTCTCTCTTTCATTTGTCTGTTCTCTCTCTCTGTCCAGTAAGTAGTCCCAAGGGACTAGGAAAAGTGACAGGTACAGTGTTGCTGGACCCAGTGTTCTCTGCACTGGAGCTGGCACGGCCTTCCCCAAACCTGCTCACCCCCCCTGAGGCCCCGGGAGGAGGTCAGGGAGGGAAGCTGTGTTCTTTGCACTGGAGCTGGCACGGCCTTCCCCAAACCTGCTCACCCCGCAAGGCCCGGCTCAGGTATACCTTCCTGATCATCCCCTGTTGTGACTGCCTGTCTCCCCATCTAGATCCCTTCTCATCTCTGCACTTCTGCATCCTCAGTGCCCACCAGGCCTGGCAAAGGGCAGGTGTGAACGATGTGAGGGAGAAAGAATTCAGATAGGGGAGAGAGTGTAGCAAAGGTTGGGAAGAAGGGTCCTGCAGTGTCCCTCTGTAAATCTGAGAAATTTGGACGGCGAAGAAGAGGTGGCTTCCCCACTCCCCTCCTGCCTGTGCTACACCCCCATACACACCTGACCGTGGCCAGGCAGGGCTGGCTCAGTAGCTGCTGGGGGTAGTAGAGAGACAAAAGCCACATACTTCCATTTTAGCCAGACTCATTTTTAGGTCACATGCCTTCATGAAGTCTGGGTGCCCAGTCTCACTATCTCCATTTTTTAGAAGGGGAATCAGATAAGAAAAGCTGGGTGTCTTTTCCCAGGCACCAGTCAGTGGGGGGAGAATTCAGATCAGAACTCCCAGCAGCTGGGGAAACCACCTTAACTGCCTTCCATACAACCCAGGCTGAGCTGTGGCCATCTTTCCACTTTCATGAGAGGCTAGAGCTGGGCAGAAGGGACCCAGCCGAGGGGAGGAGCAGTCCGAGGGAGGCCTGGGCGGGGAGGGGGGGGCGGCTCCACCTGTTGCTGCCTCCTCAGCAATGCTGGACCAAGGGAACAGTCCCTCCCTCCAAGGGAACTGCCCCCCCCACACACACACACACAGTCCTCACCCATTGTCATCACACTATCTCAGCACTGCTATATTTAAGGCCCGTGCGGGCTCCAAGATCACATTCTTCTCCCTGTCCCCGCTGAGCCCACGGCAAGAAGACACCAAGGATCTTCTCACTCTCCGGATCTTCTCCCCAGAGACGCCTAAGTGGGCACAGCTGCTTCTGTGAGTCGCCTCCAAAGATGGGGGGAGGGACACCTCCAGGAAGTGGGACCCTCATTTTCCACAGGGAAGTAGGATGCGTGTGTGTGTGTGTGTGTGTGTGTGTGTGTGTGTGTGTACACGTGCACATGCTGGGAAAGGAGCCTGGGAGATTTGGAAAGAGAAGGGAGACGTGGGCTTCGGCGGCACCCAAGTGAACAAGAAAGGGGACCTTAGAAAACCCTGCCCCCATCCCACTGCTCCCTGTGGCCCTAGGTCTTCCCAGCTGAGCCCTCCGTGATGTGAAAGCTGCAGAAAAAGACACATAGGGATGCCCCGGGAAGTGGAGGCTTTCCTGCCGTGGAGCGGGAATCAGGGAGAGCTGGCACGGCCAGCAAACCTTAGAGCTGGCGGGGCCCTGCTTGGCCGATGCAGCAGGCAGGCAAGAGAGCAAGCCCTCAGGGCCGAATCACAGGGCCAGGAGGGCGCTCATCCAGCCTGGGTTTCCTGGCAGGAAACCGAGGCCCGGGCAGGGAAGGCATTGATTGTCTCAGTTCCTCAGTGGCAGGGGCAGAATTCAGCCTCTCAGAAGCTGGCGGAGCCGGATCCGCTGGCTAAGAGCCGCAGACAGACTCAGCAGGGGCTGTCTCTGCTCCCACCCGCAGGACCAGGCTTTCTGCCTTCAGGGCTCCGTGAGTCACAGAGCCTCTGCACTTCTCCGTGAGTCACAGAGCCTCCACACTTCTTTTTCCCTCCTGAGGAAAGGGAGAGGCCTCCTTGCCCCCTCTCGCTCAGGGGTGCCTGTCAGAGGGCCAGCGTGAAAGCAGGTCAGGACTTGGGAGGAAAGTGGCCACATGATAGGATCTCTGGCCCAGGGCTTTGCACCCCCATGACGGCACAAGGGGGGCAGTTAGCCGCCTGGCCTACGCTGGGCTGACCCCTCCCCAGCAGGCACACGGAGTGTCTGAGAAGGGGGCAGGGGAGGCTGCACTCTCGCTGCTTAATCTCCAGCCTCAGTCATTGCTTTAAAAAGAATCGATGGCTCATCTGCTTAAGCTGGGGGTCTGGTTTCTGGAGGCCCAGGAGGTCAGGGATGAGCGCCAGGCCCACCGCTGTGCCAGTCAGTAACAGAGCATCAGGGAAGGGAGCCAGCAATGACGCCAGGGAACGTCAGCCCTCTCAGCTGCTGGGGCCAGGGCCACCATGTAACAGAAAAGCTGGGTGGTACCCAGCAGCTCTCCTCTTGGCCTGTGAGGAGGAAGAAACAGACTGAGCAGGGCCATTCTCTGGGTACAAATAAACCCTCTTCTTTGGGAGAGGCCAGTTGGGGACCCAAGGAGTGACTGTCTTGTTACGTGCAGCTGAGGTCATCGGAGGAGGCCAAGGAAGCTTCGGGGGCAGCCCTTGGTCCCAACTAACAATCCACAGTAATCCAGTCACTCTTGGGTGTCCTTCGTGGACAACCAAAGGGAGCAAAGTTTTAGGAACTGGAAGGAGTAAATAAACACCCACCTAGATTGATATTTGGCGGCCTGAGCCCCCCGACACCCCACGGCAGGCCCTCCAGACTAAGAATCGCTGACAAGGCCTGTAGTTTTTCTGCAGCACCTAGAAAAATAATGTTAGCATCTGTCACTTATACAGTACCTACAATGAGCCAGGCACTTGCCAAACCTTTGACCCTGGTAGGTTGGTAGATCCATTTTATAGATGAGAAAACCAAGTCATAGAGTCTTGCCCAAGGTCACATACTTGTAAACTGGATAGAGAAGCAGGGATCACACACAGGGGGTTGGACCCAGAGCCTCCATGCTCAATCTTTGTGCTCATTAAGCGTTCTCAGGTTGGGCTTTGAAGCTTGGATAGAGTTAAGCAAGCCAGGAGGAGGAGAAGGTGCTCCAGGTGAGACCAGTGCAGGCAAAAGCTCAGAGGCAGGACTGACTGTGGCATATGCAGGAAGAATGAACACAGCTGCCCATCTTGAGTCCTAGAACAGCCCGTGGACACCATAGGGATCAATCGTCTGGGTACCCAAGGCCCAGAGAAGGCAAGGCCTTGCTCTAGGTCACACAGCAAGGCAAGGGCAGGGGTGCAGCCGGAAGCCAGATGCCACTCTCCAGTGTGGGGCTCTGCTCCCTCAGCTGAGGAGCACATGGGATGGTGAATAAGCCTGGCTCAGAGTGAAGCCCTGCTCTGTCACCTTGGGCAGTTCCCTCACCCTCCCAGGCCCCCGTTTCCTTCTGCCCACTGGAGAGAGAACTCCCGACCCTGTAAACCCTCCAGATGCTGGGACTGCATGGGGAAGGGATGGGCAGACGCCCGGTGGACTGACCATACACCTTGGCTCGGCAGGTTGTCGCTCTTGCAGCCATGACTCTGCCGCACAACCCTGGAAATGTGGGGGAGACCCGGCCCCCCCAGGCCGTGCAGGTCCACAGACTGGAACGCCGCCAGGAGGAGGAGCAGCAGGAGCAGCGGCAGCACAGCCTGCACATGGGTTCCTCGGTGCAGAGGCGGACCTTCCGCAGCAGGTGGGAGCATCCGGGACCCCACCCAGCCACTGCCCTACCCCCAGGGTCATCGGTCCCAACGGGGAGACACAGCCCTGCTTTCTGAGACCCCAGTTTGGGAAGGGAGGCACAGCCATGCCTGCTAGTAGTCCCTGAGGCTGAGGTGGGTAGATGCAGCCCTAATCCCAGAGGGCCCCAGCCAGATCCCCAGCCAAACCTGCAGGAGCCATCACCTCTCTTTTCCTGGGGACAGTGAGGAAGAATATCAGTTCAGCGCTGCTGACTACGCCCTCGCGGCTGCCCTGGTTCTGACGGCCTCCTCAGAGACGTCTTGGTAAGTCAAGTGACCTTTCCAGAGAGCCCTGGGCTGAGAAGGGGCCATCCTGTCCAGTCCCCTGCCTCCCACACTGAGCTTAAAAAAGTTGCCCAAAGTGACACATCTAGAATAAGGGGTTAGGTCAAGCTCAGGGCTGTCTGAGCACAGAGCCCACCCCACTGCTCTCTGGATGGGTTCACAGGCGATAGTGAGAGATCACCCCCAAAGCAGAGGTTGGGGTCCACCCTTCACCACGGGACTTCACATGGTGAGGGAGGGGGCTGGGGAGAAGAGGAGCAAGTAAACCAGCCCCAAGTTTCAGACACCAGTCCGGAGACTTGGGGGCCTCTGAGTGCGAGAAGATGGAGAGGCCGCATCCTGGGCTACGAGGCCAGGTTCTGGTCCTGGTCCTGGCTGGCCCGAAGCAAGTCACCGAGCCTCTGGTGTCCTGTAAAACAGTGAAACTAATGCCGATCCACTTGTTTGCAGTGAGAACAGGACAAACGATGGTTTGCGGAGGGGCCTTGCGGACTAGCGCAACAGTAGTTATTACGCGCCTACCGTAAGCAGGACTGGCTCAGGGTATTTTGGAGGCAAGAGACCATTAAAAGTTGCTTTGGTCCTCAAGTGCAGGTGGGGAGGCTGGGCATGGGGATGGCACTTGCTGGGACGTCTCCCCGCCCCCCCGACCTCGGGCTCTTGCCCGCCCCGCGTCCTCTGTTGCCGCAGGGAGGCCCAGCTGAGGCGCCGGAGCTCCGCGGTGGAGCTGGAGGAGCGCGGGCAGAAGCGCGTGGGCTTCGGCAACGACCTGGAGAGGACGGAGATCGCTTTCCTACGGACCCAGTGGCTGCTGCGCCAGAGCCGGGACCGGAAGGCGCTGAGGCGGCGGGTGAGGGGCGTGGGCTGGGGAGCCCTAGGGCCCTGGGACCTGAGACCCATCACATGCCACCCACCTCACCCTGCCCAAGAAGCAGCTGGACATCGGGAAAGATCCCCCACCCTGGACATCGGCCCGGGTCTGAATCCTGGCGCCCCCCACCTCTAGCTGTGTGACCTGAGGCAGGCAACTCATTCCTTCTGAGCCTTGGTTTTCTTATCTGCAAAACCAGTGCATGTGGTTGTACCAACTCTGTGTTGAGAGGGGAATTAAATGAGATTGAGCTTGGAAAGTCCCTCTCCCCGTGCCTAGAACTTGGAAGACCCTCAGGAAATGCAATTCATGGCAAATGTCAGAGATTCGAAGCCACCCTCCGAACCCCCTCCCTGGGCAGGAGAGCTATAGCTAAGACTCGATGGGCTTTTTCAGCGCCCACGTTTTTCACGTATAAACTCGTTGAATCCTCACTGTAACCCCACGGGAGGGTGGGGGCATATTGTTATCATCCCCATTTTACAGATAGGGAAGCCGAGGACTTGACTATCGTCTCACAGCTAGTAAGCAGCAGAGTGTGGCCTTGACCCCAGGCCAGCTGGTTTCAAAGCCCATGTTCTCTCTTCTGGGCCTCACTGCCTCAGCTGCCGCTGAAGAGGGCGGCCTCCAGCTCGTGTAGGTCTGACTCCAGAGCTTGGGTGTCAGGGGAAAAGTTGACAGCAAGTCACAGACCTTCTCCTGCCTCCAGACAGAGGAGAAGGTGCGGGAGGCCAAGGAGCTGCGGGAGCTGTGTTCCAGCCGGGGGCCCTGGTTCTGGATCCCACTTCGCTCCCACGCCGTCTGGGAGCACACCACAGTCCTGCTGACCTGCACCGTCCAGGCCTCGCCTCCACCCCAGGTCACCTGGTAAGCCACTGCGGCAGGAGAGAAGGGACCTCACGCTGCTGCCTCCACACCCCGGGCCTCCACGGTTCTGCGAGTGTGAGTTCCTCACAGCCCAACGCCTCCCAGGGGCCCAGCCCACCCCCTAGAAATTACTGCAGCCTCAGAATAGCTGCAGCCCCACAGACCCTGAGCTCTGCCCACCCCCCGAACACAGCAGCAGCTGCTGGGGAGGCTCAGGAAGGGGTTATTCTTAGCTGCCTCCCAGCCAACCTGAGGCTAGAAGACTGGGCCACAGGGGAGCCAGCACTTGTAAAAATATGATTCTGGTGGCATGAGAAGGCAGCTGCTCCCAGCTGGGTGTCTCCAGGATTGGAGGATGACAGTGGAAGGTGGGAGAGGGGGCAAGAGAGCCGGAGAGGATGTGAGGAGGGCAGGGGCCCTACAGAAGGAGCTCGGGCTTGGGGCGGGAGCCCTGCGCTCCAGGCCTAGCCGTCTCCCCACTAACTCAGTGTGTGGTCTCAACTATGTCTCTTAACCCCTCCCCCCCAGTTCTGCCTCAGTTTCCTCTTCTGCAAAATGGGTTGAAGACCTCCTGTCCAGCTTGCCTGTGGTGAGGATTTAATGCCACAGCAATGTGGAAGGCTTCAGAACTTGAAAAGTACTGGGAAAGCAAGAGACACCATTCCTGAGAGTGTACCCGTAACAGAACCACGGAGTCGGGGCCTTGCTGGTGGAGGCTGGGGAGGGGGCAGGTGTCTCCTGAACAAGCCTGGTGGAATTCGCGGTGGGCGTGGCCTGGCCGTGTCCCGGGTCTCGTTCTGCCACAGAGGGAGGGGTGTCATTCGCACAGCTGAGCCCACTGCTTCCTGAGTTCCCCTGGGTCTAAGGCTCATCGTCAGGCACTTCTTTGTTTGGAAAACAAAGAAGGGATTTCAACAAATATTTACCCAGAGCATAATCCGTCCCAGACCCTAACTCAGGCGCTGAGGTGGAGAAATGACCCAGACAGTCTCGCCTTAAGGGACTCTCAGCCCAGAAGAGAAACATCAGCATCAGCACACAGAGAAGCACGTTCACGGGTGAGAGTTGAGGTAAAAAGAGTGGAGGTGAAGAGAAGGAAGTGGCTGCCTCTACCTGGAGGATCTGGGAAGGCTTCTCAGAGGAGGTGACATGTAAGCCAGATCTTGAGGGTGAACAGACCGTAGTCTGATAGGAGAGAGAAGATAAGCACACAAATAACCGAGATCGCAAAGGAAAAAGTAACATCTTATACTCGAACCCGCTTTATATTGACCCAGCACTTGTCTCTCATTTGAGCCTTGGGGCCGCTCGTGAGGTAGGGACCTTTATCCACATTTCACAGGTAAGGCAATCAAGGCTCAGAGAGGTAGTATGACTTGTCAAAGATCATGCAGCCAGTGCGAGCCAGGATTCAAACTCAGGTCTCTTGCCTCCCAGCCCATTGCTGTCTCCACTGGCCTAAGGAGTGAGAAAGTCATCGTTACAGTTGTTTTTTTGTTTTGTTTTGTTTTTTTTCCTTAAAGCACATATAATGCTTCAGAAGTCAGAGAAACAGAAAGCAATTAGGCCAGGAGCAATCAAGAAAGGCATCAGGATGGAGTCAGCATTGAGACTGGTCATTATCAGATGGCGTTCATTCAAAAAAGTGTGCCAAGCACCGTGCTGGGCACTGGTGTTCTGTGGGGACCAAGGCGGTCCCTGCCTGCCAGTTGCTGGTCCAGCAGGAGAATTGCTCCTGACAGCTGGGCTGGGCGAAGTGGGGGTCAGCACCTCAGCTGTCCCGGCAGCACGCCCTGCCCTGCCCTGGCACTGAGGCCCACGTCCAAGACATTCCACGGGAGCCTCAGACAGGGGGGTTTGTTTCCACCTCTGCCGGCAAGGTTGCCACAACAGAGAGCTGAGCATTCCTTGTAAGTAGTGGAAGCCAAGGCCAGGGCCACCTCCAGTGGCCCCTGCAGCTCTTGGCTTTGGAGGCTGATTTTCCACCATCAATCACCTCCAGGAGGACCACACATCGTCCTCGGATTGGCCTCTGGAGCTCTGTCCAGGCCCTGGGAGAGACCCAGCTCCCGGGTCAGGAGGACAATCCTGGCCTCCCAAGCTCATCAAGCATGTCCATTCATTCAGCAATTATTGAGCACTTCCTGAATGCAAGGGCTACAACAGGGCAAGTTAGGCAAGGCCAGGTTTATGCTGCAGAAGTCGGTTCTGGCTGTGGTTTTACCTGATGTCAGAATCAACCTCCCCGGCCAAGCAGCCTTAAAAAGTAAAATTTAACACCAAACTATGTAAGGAAAAAGTAAATTTAGATAAATAAGAAAAACGTCACTCTTTTACGTGGGCCTCTCCGAGCCAGGCGCCTGGCCCCAGTTGTCACATTTAATGCTGTTTAATGATTGGCTGCCACCTAGGATCATCGGCACAGCACATGCCATCAAGGGCCTGCCATGCAGGCAGGAGAAGCCCAGAGAGAGGGCGAAGTGAGCAGTGAGGCCCCTGGCTGTCCAGGTCTTTCCCAGAGCCTCAGCAGCAGCCAGTTTTTCTGAGAAAAGCAGAGGCTGGCCAGGCTGATGTATCTGGAATGTTCCTGATAGGTGGGTGCTGGGGAGCCTGACTTTGGCCTCCAGACCTGGGAGAAGTGGAGAGATTGGGCACCCAGATTAGGCCCCGCCCTCCGCAGAGGAGATCCAGTTGGGCTTCTTTCAGAAGAGAGCACAGCCAGAGGGTTGTGTGATAAGGCGTGGGTATGGCACTGTTTGGTTGCCATGGAGACAAACAGGGCAGGGAGGGGAGCCAGGTCCAAAGAAGGCAACGCACTGAGGCTGGGGCACCCGCTCTTGGCTGAGGCCTCCTCTTCATCCTCAACCACCTCTGGGGCCAACTGTCTGTGCAATGGTATCGTGGACACAGAGGCCCAGAGACGGGGACTGACTTGCCCAAAGTCATACAGCAAGACGTGTCCAGAACCCAGGACTTCTAACTTTCACAGACTTCCACTCACCAGCCCTGACTCCTTAGACCTCCAGACCCCTATCTGCAACGGGCTATGGACAGAGGCAAGGCGATCTCACTGTCTAGTGCCCATGGAAGGGAGAATAAGACCCCAGCGTCTACAGGACACAAACAGTGGTTTCCAGGAGTGGAGGGTGATCTGCTGGGTCTTGCTCAGGAGTCACCTGAGATACCCAGGTCCCACCCCCAGATATTTCTATGTTATTGGCCTGGGGTACAACCTGGACATGGAAGGTTGTTTAATGGCTTAAATAAGATAGAAGTTTGTTTTTCTTTCGTATAAGTGTCTGACGTAGACAGGGTAGGGTTGCTATGGCAACTCCACTCACCAATTCCTCGGGGACTCAGGCACTGAGGAATTCTGCTCACTGCTGGAGAGTGCGGCCTTTGTCTTCTCTATGCAAGGTGGCAGTCTTCACAGCCACGTTATCGCCACAGGATGTAGGAATAGATGACATAAAAAGAGGCGGAAGGAACCATATGACATTTGTCTTGTTTTCTGTCGACGATACTTAGTCACATAGCTACACCAAGCAGAAAGAGGCTAGAAAAGATGACATATATTTAGTGGCTCCGTGATAAACTCTATTCCTTTAGGATAAGAGGAGAATGCCTACAAGAAAATAATTAGCCATTTTCGGTGCAAATTTCCAAAGGCTTTTAGGTTTAAAATCGAGGCATGGAGACTTTCAAAGCTTCCTCTAGTGAGTCTTAATAAAAGGCAAGATGAAGAACTGCTGTCCTGGGGGATCGACAGGGAGATAGGGATGGGGGTACCTTCCCTGGCAACCCCCTCAAAGAGGAGGGAAAAGCTGGGGCCTTGGTCCCTAGAGGGGCTCCCATAGGGAGAGAAGCAGCTACTCCTAATTACAGGTTCCCTCTTAACTCCCCCTATGAAGGAGAATGAACTCTTGATCATTTATAGGGCCCAAGAGGAAATCTTTACATGTCTTATCCCAGTTGATCAGCACAGCAACCCTAGGCCAGTGCTGTCCTTTCATTTCACAGATGAGGACCACTGAGGTTCAGAGCAGGGAAAGCGCTGCCCCAGGTCACAGGAGTGAGTAAGCAGCACAAAGCTGACGTTGGAATCCAGGTCCAAGATGCTCTGGATCCTTCTCGCTCGGAACGACACTGCCTGCCACAGACCACTGTGTCTCCACAGGTACAAAAATGACATGAGACTCGATCCTCGCCTCTTCCCTGCTGGAAAGTACCGAATCACCAACAACTACGGGCTGCTGACCTTGGAGATCAGGAGGTGAGACTATGAGCCACAGAGAGCCCCATGACCCTCCTCCCACCCCACCCCACCCCTCCAGGTCCCAACGTCCCCGAAGCCAGAGCAGGATTCCAAACCCTTCCTTGGAGTTATTTCCCAAGTGAGCCTCATCTTCGGAAGTGCTTGTTAAAATATGAACCCCAGAGATTCAGATTAAGTAAGTATGGAGTGGGGCCCAGGAATCGATATGTAAGCCTTGCCATGGGGTTCCAATGCCTGAGGACACACAATGAGAAATGTGGGCCCAGAGGCTTATAGCAAGGATTGAAAGCTGAGCTAGGCAAGTTGGGAGAGCTCCTTCCACGGAGAGAGAAAACACAAATCCTTACACACACACATGCACGCACACACACACACGCATGCGTGCATATACATGCACACACACAGTGCACGGGGAAGCAGTTGGAGGGAGAGTTAGATAGGCCTTCCTGGCGATGGTGAGTGTTTTGCGTGGTTATGAAGGAAGAGGCCACGTGCACCGAGGGAGGCCATATGGAAATCTGAAAGCCCAATACTCCCCAGCATGTGCCTTATTCATTTGAGCTGCCATGTGTGAAATTCCGCCAAGCCCTGTGCTAGGTACTGTACACATTCAATCAACAATGAACCATCCTGGCAGGGAAGTGTTGTTACAGGGGAGGAAACAGGCTGCAAGAGGTCAAGGGTCTTATGTGGCTTGTACCAGGCAGGGTCTGGGTTTCAGCCAGTTCTCTCTGTCTAGGTTCTTACCAATACACCAAACCCTCCACCTCAACCAACTTGGGCTTCAGTGACACAAATCTGAACAAAGTAGGGAAACATGGACATAAATACTGACGATACAATGATACAAAGGGCAGTGTCCTGTGGACTGCACAGTTGGCAAAGGCGTTCAGAGCTGAGGCTCTTAAGGGGCAGGTGGGACTGGCCCTTGAAACAAGAGAGACTCCTGCCCTGAGCAGCCAGGGGAAGAGAGGGGGCATCAGGGGCTTCTGTGTTTGCTGATGGGGCCGGATGTGCCGCATCCTACCAACTACTCGCTTCATCATTAAGGTGCCCCGGGATGAAGCTGGCCCAAGCCTTCACTGGGAAAGCGACAGGGTTGGCCTGGCTGGTGGGAAGACCCAGGCCTGAGATTGAGAACACCTGGGCAATGGCCCAGTTCCGGCAGACGGGCAGTGTGTCTCGGGCAAGCCCGTGCCCTGCTCCTGCTCTGGGCTTCTGGAGCTCTGGGCAGGAGGTCATGCCTGAGAGAGGGCTTGCCACCTTGAAGCTGGGTGAATTCCAGTTGCTGTGTGACTCTGAGCAAGTCACTTAACCTCTCTAATCCTGCAGAGTCAATAATAACAATCATATTTTCAAAGTACTTTCACCTTAGGTGGGTTAGGCCAGTGTATGTCCCCAGTTTTTCAGAGGTGGACACTGAGGCATGGAGAGAAGCAGTGGCCAGCCCAAAGGCACACAGCTTTTCAGCAGTGGGGCCTGAGTCAGAGCCCGAAGTCTCCCCCGTGAAGCCTTCCCATCAATCCCCACATCTCCCACCCGCAGATGGGGACTTACGCTTCCCATGGAGCCCAGCAGTCGTGGGGGAACTTCTTCCTCTCTCCTTTTCAGATGCACCGTCGAGGACGCAGCCACCTACACAGTGATAGTGAAGAATGCCTATGGCCAGGCCTCCTCCTTTGCCAAAGTCCTTGTCCGCAGTAAGTTCTCCCATCCCTAGCAGGCCAGGCCGGCCCACAGCAAACCCAGGCTGAGCAGATGAGGACACGGGCCTGTGGTCAGACTCAAAGAAGGGCTATGGCACAGGGCTATGTGGCCTAGGACTAAGTGACCAGGTCACGGAGCTGCTCACTTCCTTGGGCCCTTGGGAGCCAGTGAGTCTCCGCCCTCAGACAACACAATCTATACAACTGTCTCCAAAGACTGTGCTTGTCCTGCTGGGTTGGGCCTGGGTCTAGATCCAGCTCAGGGCCTCTGGGAGGGTGGCCCAGCCCTGCTAGCCCTGCTGAGGGGTCCTCAGGGGCAAAGGTCAAGCCTTACCAACTCCCCTGTGACCCCACTGCCTCATTTGGATTCTGCTGCTGTTTCCAGTTGGGCATCTGAAGGTTACCCCGAGGGCATCTGAGATCACAGAATAAAGGAGAGGATACCCTCAGGGGACATCCAGACCCCAGTTCGAATGCTGGCTCTGCCCCTGACTGGCTATGTGAGCCTGGACCAGCCACTTCACCTTTCTGGGCCTCTTCATCTATACACGGGACTCTTCCTACCTCCCCCCAGACACTCATGTTGGTTATATGACATGGCATAGGTAAAGCTTGACTATATTAGGCTCTTGAGAGGACATAACTGCCCTTCCCCCATGCCATGACCAGGACAGAGCACAGCCCAGGAGGCCATACCTCTGCGCCTAGGGCAATGCTGCATTGTGACCTCAGTGCTCCTGAGAGAGAAGTTGCATGCATGTGCGCGCACGCGCACACACACACACACACACACACACACACACACACACACTCCCTGGGCAGCAGACTGGCTGGAGTGTAGCCCTTGCTGCCTCCCTACCTCTCATCAGACCTTGTTAAACTGTCCTTCACAGTCTTCTCCATCCCTTTGCCCTCTTCCCCAAATAGCTTTTGGGAGGCAGCTGTCCCCACTGCCAGCCAGGCTCTGTGTATGGAATTTGAGCCATCCCTATAGGCTGTGCCCAGAGTCAAGCCCAAGGTCAGGCATTGGGGCCCTGCACCCTCTATCTACCTATTCTTCCCCTCACTTCCTCCAGATCCACACCCCTCCCTCCAAGGCCAGCAACTCCAGATCAACCAGGCTTCTTCCTGGCCCCCAGACTCCAGCCAGGCTCCTACTAAGCTCATCCACTCACTGCCACTACCACCCCTCCCCTGCTCTCCTCTCCATAGCAACTGCATTAGTCTTAGTGGAAAGCCTTGGGCTGGGAAGCAGGAGCTCTGGGTGCTAATCCTGAGCCTTCCACTGACTCTGTATGACCTCGGGTAGCCTCCTGACCCTCTCTGGGCCTAGATCAGGAAGGGCCTTTCCAAGGACCAGTGTCACGTGATGACTTCAGGCTAGCTGGATGATTATGCCTCAGTTTGCTCATCTGTATGAGAAGGTTATAATGGCATCGATAGACAGGGCTATTATGAGGATTAAACAAGTTAATAACTAGCATATGGTAGTCACTGTGAACAAAGCTGTTCCTACTCTCTGGTGTTCTGAGCCGACATCTTCTCAGGCATCACCCTTAAGTCTCCAGACAGCTCTCTTAGTGCTGCCCCTTCCCCTGCCGGAGTTCCCTGACCCCACCAGAAACCCCGGTTTGACTGGGCTCTGCCTCCGTGAAGAGTGTGTGATCCCGGTGGTGAGTTTAGAAGAGGAAAGAAACCACCATTTATTGAGCACTAGCTGTGTCCGGCTCTGGCTGAGAGCTTTGTTCATGTGAACTCAGGTATTCACAATGCCACCACTATCAGGTAGGAATCATGGTCCCCATTTTACCAAGGAAGAAACTGAGGCACCGAGGGGTGAAGGAACTTCCCCAAAGCCAAAGGGGAAGCCACTGATAGACCAGGACTCAACCCCACACTCAGAGGCCACGCCTCCATGCTCTAGCAGGAACATGGGTCTGAACCTTCTCAAACTCCCTGTGCTCTGGGTTTTCAGCTTACCTGGGGAAAGATGCTGGCTTCGATTCGGAGATCTTTAAAAGTAAGGAGACTAGGGGAGGGATGGGGCTTCGGGAGGAGGGTGTCAGAGACTCCTTGTCAGTCCTCCCCACAGCCCCTTTGGGACATAGCCATCCATTGTCCACTAAGGGGTGTCCACACGGCGTTTGCCTATGAACAGTTAACATTTGCAGACTGGTTTCCGGGGGTCCCAAGGCAGCTGCTGAGCTGGTCAGTGGCCAAAACTGAGCTAAAAAGCCAAAAAGACAAATGGATGTGGCCTTTGGATAGTTGCTATTTCGGTTCATCTGGTCTTTCCTAAATAAATCTCTTCCCTATGCCCACCCTCCAAGAACAGGCCCCTCTTCTGTTCAGGCCACCTGGGGAACTGCGACCCTGACCCAGAGGAATGGGGACGCCCCACAAGGGTCTTCCCTCCTGCCTAACCCCCAAGCAAGAAGACGTCTGCCCTGAATTTCTGTTCCAACCCAGGACTGATGTTTGGCCCCAGCGTGGAATTCACATCGGTGCTAACGCCGGTCTTCGCCCGTGAGAAGGAACCCTTCTCCCTAACCTGCTACTTTTCGGAAGATGTGTTAGATGCTGAGCAGAACATCCAGTGGTCCCGAGATGGTGAGGACCCCCAGTCCTGGTCCCCAGCTTTCAGAGGCAGAGGTGGAAGATCTCTGGCTCCATCCCCAACCCTGGGACCCCCCAGAGGAGAGAGAAACGCAGCTATGCTTCTCCCACAACCATTCCAGCTTTCAGAGGCAGAGGTGGAAGATCCCTGGCTCCATCCCCAACCCTGGGACCACCCCCAGGGGAGAGAGAAACGCAGCTATGCTTCTCCCACAACCAGTCTAAGCTGAGTTAGGGGTGCCGAAGAGACAGAGGGAAGCAGAGCACAGCCACATGAATTCAGATCAAGTCACCTTTGAAATGGTCACCGAGCTCCAATGTGTCAGGCCCTGTGCTGGATGCCAGGACAGGGACAGGCACAGACGCGCGTGAGCTCAAGAGGCTCTCCATCTGGGAGGAGGGAGGATGCCAGAGCACAATTGTAGCCACAGCCTGTTGAGAGCTGCGGCCAGGCCCTGGCTCAGCCCTCTGCATTTACGAGATTGTCATCAGCACCCTAGAGGTGAGTGATGGTGTTCGAAGTAATGGGAACAGAAGCCAAGGCCAGGAGGCAGGACAGCACGAGAAACAAGAAATGGGGCCCTGTGTGAGGGTCAGGGGGAGGTAGTGGCAGTTACTTAGGGCTTTTCGGAATTGAAGTATGGGTGCTGGTAAATGATTACTACCCGTGAGCTAGAAGACCCCTGGACATATCACAGGCAAGGCTGGGAAAGCTGGTCAGCTAAGGCAGGAAGAGGTGGCCCAGCCAGGAAGAAGGACAGCTGGACCTCCTGCCCCATCCATGCCCAGGCCTGCAGCCAAAGGACAAGGTGTACATCACAGCAGAGGCCGCCTCTGCTGGTGACGGGTGTGGAGGAGCGGGGACGCCATGAGGAGCCCTGAGAAGTAGCTGCAATTACAAAGCTGAGATGATTTCCCCTCTTGTAGATCTTCCAGAATAGGGGTGCGGACAGGAGGGAGGGGCCTTCGAGTGGAGCAAAGAGCAGGACAGCCAGACAGTGTGGCCTCAGGGTGGGGTCCACTCACCAAGCCCCCATCCCTCTCACAAAGGTTCTCCCTACTGAGTCCCCACTCTCCTCACTGAACCGTACCAGCCTCTATTAACCTTCGACCTTCCTCACTGATAACCCCAACTCTCTCAATGAGTCCCCACCCCTTTCTGGGGGCCCTCTCCCCCTCAGGAAGCCCTCGCTCCCTTCATTCAACTCATAATCGCCCCCCACTGAGCTACCGCCCCCTTCCTAGAGCCCCAGCCCCTCCAATGAGTCTCCAGCCCCCTCACAAAGCTCCTGACCCTCAGGCCCCATTTCTTGTTTCCACTTCCTCCAACTGCTCACCGAGCTGCCAAACCAATCATTTCCCTAAATCCTCATTCCCCTCATTGAGCCTCCAGCCCCTTCCCTGAGCCCCGTCCCCCACTCCCACCCGAAGCCTTCTGCAGAGGAGAGTTCAGCAGCCACCTTGGCAAAGTCCCAGAGGTCACCACCCCCATCCCCAACTCACCAACTGAGCTTTGGGCGAGTCAGCCCCTTGACCAGCAGAGTCCCCAACTGGCCAGCCCCGCCTCTGCCCAGACCCCCAGAGCGTCTCTGCTTTCCCAGGCGAGGCCAGGATCCCTTAGGAGCTCACACTGGACCCCTCTCCTCCACAGGGAGGCTCCTGAGGTCCTCAAGACGTCGGCAGATCCTCTATGCAGACCGCCAGGCATCCCTGAAGGTGTCCTGCGCCTACAAGGAGGACGAGGGGTTCTACACAGTCCAGGTGACTTCACCCTTTGGGCCCCGGGAGCAGAGCACCTATGTATTTGTGAAAGGTGAGCGGGCAGGTGGGGGGTAAAGGGGGCAGCTGGAGCCCAGAGAACAGGGCTCTGCCCTGACCGATTTGCTGTGGGACTTTGGGCAATTCCCCTGTTCCTTGGGGCCTCAGTTTCCCTATTATAAATGAGGATGTTGTGTTAGAGTCTCCCTAAGAATCTGTGGCCTCCTATGACCCCCCAAAAGGACACAGCCTGAGAGTTTCAGAGTTGGTGAGAGCTGGGGAGGGAGGGCCGAGCGTGGACTGGGATGATTCTAATCCCTGATTGATTTCTACCTCCTGGCTTTGTCACTTCACTGGTGGGGTGACCTTGGACAAGTCATTTTTCCTCTATGAGACTCAGTTTTCCCATCTACAAAACAGAGTTGTTCCTGGGCTCAGAGATTAATAATGCCAATTACCCAGGTGCATAGTACATGTAGAATGGGCCCCTAGTAAATGGTACTCCCAGGGCCCCCCAGATACTGTTGTTTAAAAGGGGGAGGCTATTACTCAGGTCCTGAGATCAAAACTGAGCCCCTGGATGATTAACAAAAAGAGGAGGCTGTGCAGGGGAGGGAGGGAGCAGCTGCCAAGTGGACGGGAGCTGGAAGAGCCTCCCCATGCCCCCTCCCTCCCCACCCTCCACCCTGGCTTTCAGATGCTACAGCCGAGAAGCTGGGGGCCCCAGGTTCCCCGCTGAATGTCCGATGCCTGGATGTAAACAGAGACTGCCTCATCCTGACCTGGACCCCGCCCAGTGACACCAGGGGCAGCCCCATCTTCGGCTACTCCATCGAGTGGTGAGTCAGAGTTCCTCGGGGGGTAGACCTGGCTTGGTTGTGAGGACGAGAATGGGGGCCACAGGGAAGAGGGAGCCCCATACCTGGCCTCGGAACAGGGCAGGAAGTAGACCGTGTCGTATCATTTAGGGGCAGTAGAAGGGTGTTCACCGGCACCTGCAATTCCGCCATTGGAGTCAGCCGCTGCCTCTGGAACACTGACAGCAGGAGCTGGCCCCAGGCGGGGCACACACTCAGTGACCGAAACCTGAGCACATGTGCACTCGTTGGCTACTTTCATGCTGAGTGACAGACAGAGATTGAGTGGCATTGACCCTGGAGGGAAGAGGCATGCCAGGAAGGGGGAGGGGCTGGGACATCCTGTCTCCTTCATGTGCCACCAGCTCAGAGGCCTTAGTTTGAGGTAACACCTAATCCTGCCACTGATGGCTCGAGGACTGTGTACCTGCTCCATGCCTTATCTCACCAAAGCCTTAAAACCACCCTAAAAGGGATTCTTTCATGCCCCATTCCACAGGAAAATGGGGTATGTAGGACGATGACATTGCTCATTGGTGGTGGAGTCAGGTTTTGGACCCGCATGTGACCACCGGCCCATCCATCCAGTACTTAGTGCTGTGGTAGGCCCTGAGGACAATGGTACCCACAGGGCTCAGAGAGCCCAGACTCTGAGGGTCAGTCTGGAACACACGCTGACTTAGGGAGGGGACGGCCCTCAGTGAAATCCTAACTAACTCCACCACTAGGAGCCGTGCGGCCTTGAGCAGTCATCCCGCTGTCTGGGCCATGGGTCTGCATTTGTAGAGGGAAAGTAATCACATGTAACTCTGTGGACCATTAGGATGTGAAGGACACAGTGCAGCTCCAAGCACACAGGAAAGCTCCATGAAAGACATGGAAAGTTCCATCGTGGGAGGTGGAAGATGGTCCCCAACCTCTTGGGGGCCTGAGGTTCGAGCCAGGCTTTTTAATGGAGAGCAGGACTTTAAATGGCTGAGACGAGCTAGGCAGGCAGCCCAGGGCAGGGAAATGGCCCTGGCAGAGGCTCAAACTGGGAAGGTGTGAGTCATGGGACTACTCTCCCACAGGTGCCAGGGCGAGTCCGAGCAATGGGTGCCCTGCCATGAGGCCCCTGGCGGGACCTGTAGGTGCCCAATCCAAGGCCTTGTCGAAGGCCAGAGCTATCGATTCCGGGTGAGAGCCATCAACAAAGCAGGCAGCAGCCTCCCCTCCAAGGCCTCAGAACCAGTTGTCATGGGTGACCATGATGAAGCCCGAAGGAAGATAGGTGGGTACAGAGGCCCTAAAGGGACATTCTAGAGCATCAGTCAGGGCAAACTCAGGACTGGCTCACACAGGAGACAGGTGGCACGGCCCCCATTCCAAGCCCAATTCCAAGAGGTGAGAACAGCCCATCCCCTCAGGAACCCCTAATCCGATGGAGGAGACAGGAACTCCTAGACATTTGGAGGAAACACAGCGCTGGCCTTAGGAGCCCCTAGCCTGAGCGAGGAGGTATGGCTAGTCTGACAGAAGACACACCAGTCCTATCCACAGGAAATACGAATGTGAGGGAGCACCACAGCACCTTCTTCAGACACTCTTAACCTGGAGGAGGATGACAGCCCTGCCTCAGGAGCCCCCAGCCGGGGGGTGGGAGGGGGTGAGGGGACACAGTCCTCCCAGCCCTGAGGAGTCAACCTGACTTAAGTTTGCCTCCAGCTCCACCATGACTTGGGTACCTGACCCCAGGCATATCACCTCTCCTCTCTGTCCCCTTTGTCCCAAGAGGACAGAGCATCACGCAGGGTCTAGGAATCAGCACCCACAGGATGCAGACTTGCTCTGACCCAGTCCCCACGTACCCTGCACCCCTACTTCTCCCCCAACTTGCTCCATTCTCCATCCTAGAGATCCCCTTTGACCTGGGAAACAAGATCTCGGTCAGCACAGACGATTTTGAAGGTAAGTATGAACCTCCTGACACTTTGCCTGAAGACTCCAGTCCCCTTTATGGTTCTAGAAGCTCTGGACCGCAAACTGGCAAAGAGACAGAGGCTGCCCCTGTACAGGGTGTGGGAGGCGAGGGTGAGAGAGGCCCCATTGGGGGAGCCAGTGTTCTCGGGTGATTGTGGCCCACCTTGTCGTGCCCCTCGTGGAAGAGGTGGGAAGTCCCGGGAGGGACATCAGGAAAGCTGGGTTCTGGCTCCAGCTCTGGCCAGCCCTGCTGGGTGACCTGGAGCAAGTTCCAGCCCCTCTCTGGGCCCTAGTTCCCTCTTCTATGAAATGAGGAGCTGAGATCAGGACTCTCTGAGGGACCACCCACCTCTGCCCCTGGATGACTTTGATTCTAGACTTTGTGACCATCCCCTCCACTCCGACCAATGTCCATGCCAGCGAGATCCGCGAGACCTATGTGGTCCTGGGCTGGGAGGAGCCGAGACCCCGAGGCAAAGCCCCACTGACATACACCCTGGAGAAGGTATGGAGACCCCAAGGCCCCCGGCTGCTGGCTAGCTTAGAAATAGTCATGCTGTGGGGGAGTTCAGGGAAGCGCTGAGAGACCCCCGGTCAGTATCTATCCCTTGGGGAGGCCTTCAGAGCATAGAAGAGAGTTCCTTGCCTGGAAAGGCCTGAGTGTGGCCCTACATAGAAGCAGGGGGATGGATTAAATGACCTCCTGAGATTACCTCCAGCCCTGAGAGGTCAGTTACCGATGGCAGTTTCTGAAGCTGTCTGTGGATATACACAAAATTAAGAGACAGACAACAGCACCAACAGTAAGATCCACTCTCTTCTGGGCACCTCCTTGCCTCCAAGCCTGGCTAGCACTGGGCCACACATCAGGTCAAGCATCTCTTCTTGGCCAGAGCCATGTCAGAAGGGAAGCTAGGCTGGTGACTGGTGGCACTCACAGGGCATAGAGGTTGTACTAGGTGGCGATTCTCACTGTGGACAGAGCGGGGACAGGTGTCTGGGAGGGTGCAGCTGTGTGGAATAGATTTCACGGTGGCAGAGTGAAAAACGGCCTGGTGTTAAGATCACTCCAGTCCTGACTTCTGCTGTGTGAGCTGGTTTCCTAACTTCTCTGAACTTCAGTTTCCTCCAGCATAGACTGGACAACCTACTCCATGCGGGTGAAATAAGATGCAGCACCCAGCTGGGGCCAGCAGCCCTGGGCCTGTAAATGCTTCCCAAGGAGACATCCCTGACTCTGGCACATAGTGGGTGGACAGTACAGGGTTAATGAATCAATGAATAAAAAAGTTCCGGGGAGATGCCTCTGGCTTTGGTTGTCCAAATGGGCCTTTCTTTGCACACTCACGGGTGATGGTATTGCTTAGACATAGGAAAGCTATCATAATTGAAGATTTGTTTTGTGAGGCGGTAGACTATAAGGTCAAGACCTTGGAGTCAGACCGCCTGGGTTCAAGTCTTGTTTCTACTACTTACTAGCTGTGTGACGCTAGGCCAGTTACTTAGTCTCCTCTGCCTCAGTTTCTTCTTCTAAACAATAGAGACAATAATTGTACACACCTTATAGCAGGGGTCCCCAACTCTCAGGCAGCAGACCAGTACCAGTCCATAGCCTGTTAGGAACTGGGCCACACAGCAGGTGGTAAGCAGCGGGCAAGCAACTAAAGCTTCATCTGGATTTGCAGCTGCTCCCGGCACTAGCATCACAGCCTCAGCTCCACCTCAGATCATCAGGCATTAGATTCTTATAGGAACACCGGGCCCTGGTGCCAAAAAGGTTGGGGACTGCTGCCTTTTAGGGTCAATACAAGGATCAAATTAATTAAAGCACATAAGACAGAACAAAACCTGATACACTGCAGGTACGCAGCAATGTTCACTGGTTTCTATAGCAATTCCTTGGCCTAGCTGGATCCTAGGCCACCGACAGCCAGTGGGGCCCTGGGATGGGAAAGAGCAGGAAGGCAGGGTCAGCGGGTCCCCTGGGGTTTCTGGGTCAGCAGAAGTGGCCTCTCTCTGGGTGCCTCACTCGCCTGTATCACCTTCGGCTCTTCCCCTCTATCTGCCTAGAGATGCAGAATTTGTGGCTGCCTTTGGGGGGCCTCTGATGCTGTGGAGAGTGAGCAGGTTTGGGGGCCCCCATACCTGAGCTTAACTACTAAAAACACCAATTATTAGATGTGTGACTCTCAGCCAAGTCACCAAAACTCCCTGAACCTGACTTTCCTCATCGGTGGGGAAATTAACACCTACCTTGCAGGGTTATTGAGAGAATTCATCCATTTACTCATTTATTTGTCCCAGGATCATAGATGGACCACCTCCCTGGGTACAGACAAACCCTAGGTACAGACAAACCCCTGACTCAGGAGCTGACTTTCGAGTAGGGAGTGGGGACCTATGATCAACAAGATAAATGAGTAAAATGTTTAGCACATTAGCTAGTGGTAGCCTTAAAGAGAAATACATAAAGCAGGGAGGGGATTTGTAGTGTTGAGGGAAAAGGCTGCTGACATTTTAGATGGAAGGACTGAGGAGGCCTCCTTAGGTAGATGAGGTTTGAATAAAGGCCTAAAGGAAGTGAGGAGCCGACCAAGAGATTTCTGGGGGGAAATCATTGGGGTGGGGGTGAAGGAAGGGACCAGCAAGTGCAGAGGCCCAGAGGCAGGGATTAGGCCTAGCACCGGCAAGGAGCAGCAGCAGGCAGCACAGAGCTATGATGGGTGGGCAAAAGGGAGCATGGAATATGACCCAACAAGTGGCAGGTGTCGGGCCTAGAGATGCTTTCTCTCTAAGGGAGATGTGGGGCTTGGGATGGTTGAGGGAGTTCATGACAGCATGTGGGGGAAGTGGCCAGCACGGAGCTGGGCCCAGGCAACCACTCAACTCATGAGCGTTTCTCTCCTTTGTCACAGTCAGTCATAGGTAGTGGCACCTGGGAGGCCATCAGCACAGAAACTCCTGTGAAATCCCCGAGATTCGCCCTTTTGGATCTGGAGAAAGGGAAGTCGTATGTCTTCAGAGTGCGCGCGATAAACAAGTATGGCATGAGTGACCCCTCGGAGTCCAGCGAGCCCATCACCTTGAAGGGGAAGCCAGGTACCTGCGTGATGCAGGAGATGGGGGCGGGCCAGGCCAGGCGGGTCTGTCTGCATCCGGGACTCAGGACCCCAGGGCTGCCGAGACAGAGCCGTGCCCGTTTCCCTGTCCCTGACCCCTGCTACCTACCACGAAGCTGAAAAGCAACGTGATCTCAGGCCTATAAAGTGTTAGGACATCAGGATTCACATTTCTCTGGACAAGAGGCTCATGGAAGCAAAGACTTTTTTTTTTTCCCCCAAAACAGTAATTCACAAGTTGCAGAATCCAGCTGGGTCCAGCATAAGTGCTGAGTGTGACCAAGTGGTCCCTCGGTTCTAGAGATCTCCAAGCAGCACCCAGTCCTGCCTCACCTCCTTCCCCTCCCTGGTGGGGGCTATGCTGCCCCACCTCGAACTCTGGCTCACCAAGTGGAACACCTCCCACCTGTAGCATGGCATGGACCTGGGCAAGTCATTTCTGAGCTGCAAACCTTGGTGTCCTCACCTGCCAAATGAATGTACATATTCATAACAAGTATGAATGGGTTGGAGGGCAAGTGGTGTTTTCTTTCATTCTGGTCTGGTTAACATGTAGGCTTGATTTGGGGCATGGCCTGTGAGTGGTTTGCGATTAGATGTGGGCAGTCTCTGGCGCACAAGCCAGCCTTATGGTAAGATTCTAGTACAATTCTAAAAAGGAAGGGAGAGGAAGAGAAGGGAGAAGAAGGGATGGGAGGAGAAGGGAAAAAAAGAAAAGAAAAGCTATTTACTTGTATTATAAAAGTAAAATTACATAAAAATGGGGAAATACCCCCAAAGAGCAAAAGAGTGAGAGAGGAAGGGAGGGAGGAAGGAAAGAAGGAAGGAAGGAAGGAAAGAAGGAAGGAAGGAAGGAAGGAAGGAATTAAGAAATTGAGAAAGAGAGAGAGAGAGAATGCCCCCACCCCCATGATTCCACTGCCCAGGGGTAACCACTGTGAATATGTGGGCGCCTGGGCTTCTGGTCTTTTGACCACATGCCTATCTTTTTTAAAGTACAGTCAAGCCATATGTAAAGATCTGCATTCTACTTTTAAAAATCAACGTTATATCACAAATATTTCCTCATGTCATTAAATCCTCCTTGAAGTCATAATTTTAATGCCTGAGGACTACTCCATACCATGGATACCCTCAGCTCAGGTTTTTGCCCTTGGATAGAATCACGTCTCTTGGACACGTGGGTCCTTGAGTGGCCTCCTTCCAGCCTCTCTCCTCCACCCAGCTTTCATCTACTGCCACATTGTCTTCAGCCTGAGAGGCTTCTGAAGTTGCTGATAGGACCTTCCTGAGCCCAGGACCTCAAGTCTATTTCTCAGTGCATCCCCTAAGCCAAGTGCAGAGCCTGGCTCAGAGTAGGCACTCGATAAACATTGCATTTATGTTGGATGGATGCTGAGTTCAGCCTTTTCCTGTTGACTTTGAGGTACCACCAGAACACAAGGAAAGGTGTCTGGGTGAAATGGAAGATGAGCTCTAGAATTCAGGAGAGAGGGCAGAGCTAGAGGTAAAGCCTGGGGATTCAGCTGCAGAGAGGTGAAGGCTAAAGCCATAGAAATAGATGGACTCACGAGATGACAGGAGAGGGGAAAAATAAAGTAAGTAAAAGAGAAGAAGCTTGGAAGAGTCCCACAGTAGAAAACGGGGAGCCACCAAAAGATGTGTAAAAAGTTTGAGAAGTAGAAAGAGAAGGAAGTTTTTGCTCCCGTCAGCCATTTTTCCATTTATTCATATTTCCATCCATTCATCTATTCATCCATTCATCCACCCATCCATCTATCTATCCATTCATTCATCCATCTGTCCATCCACCCATCCAGTCACTGATTCATCCATCCATTTATCAGTCCATCCATCCGTACATTTAACAAATCATGGCAGCTCCAACCTCAAGTAGCTTAGTCTCAGGGAGCCATGAAAGTCAACAGAGACATTTCAAGGAAAGAAAATCAAGTTTTCTAGAGATTAAAGATAAAGACTTAGGAAAACTGCAGATTTAGTGACTTCTACATGAGAGAGAGATGGTAAGGATTAATGAATGGGAGCTTTAGTAAGGAAGAGGGGACCGGAGGAAAGAGGGGAGAGGACTTCCAGAATACAAGAGTCTGGAGCACACCTCTGGGACAAGGAAAGGCTGGCCAAAGCCCCAGGGCATGTCTGGATCCATGTTCTACCCGTGATTGCTGTAGGGGCTCCTCCCTGCCTCTCCCTACACTCCACCGCTCCCCACCCTGTTAGTGCCTATAACTCAGCATCCTTACTCAGCCCACTTTTCTGTTTTTTAGCTACTCTCCCTCCTCCAGCTCAAGTTCAAGCTTTCCGAGACACGCAGACCTCCGTCTCCCTGACCTGGGACCCAGTGAAAGAAAGCCCAGAGCTCCTGGGTTATTACATATACTCCCGGGAGGCAGGATCATCCGAGTGGCAAACAGTTAACAACAAACCCATCCAGGGCAATACGTGAGTTTTCCCCCACCTCTTCCTGTGCCAGGGAGCCCTCCAAGGAGGGGCCACAATAATAATGAAGCCTACCATTTCACAGTATGGTGCCAGCACTGGGCACTGTTCTAAGCCCTTTTCATATATTAGGTCATTTAGTTCTAACTGCAAGCTTAGGACTAATGTTTTTATAATCATTGTACAGGTGAAGAAACTGAGACACGGAGCGGTTATGTAACTTGCCAAAACTCCCCTAGCTAGCAAGTGGAAGAACTGAGACTTGATCCAGGCCTTCTTTTTGGCTAACGCTTGCCGAGGGCATGCCTTTTGCAGATAGAGGTGACTGACTAGGTCTCATCCCTCCAGGAACGCGGGGACAGAGAGCAGAGGGTATAGAGCAGCCATTGTCTTCAGGACCAAGGAGGCCTGCACTCGGGCTCCACAGCCACCCTTCACTTGCCCGGTGCCCTTGTACAGATTCACCCTCTCAGCTTGGCTCAGACTTCCATCCTGTTGCCTTTCTAACTCCCAGGCTCCCTTGTCACTCTGAGGCCCTGGGCTTGGCAGGCAGTGTGAGCCTCAAGCCTTCTGGGCTCATGACTTCTCTTAATTTTGAGAAAAACTGTGGGATAAGGAGTTCAGGTGGTGACACCCCTCTCCTCCCTTCCCATTGGATGACTAGCCCTGAGCACACCTGGCTGGGCTTCCCTCACCCTAAGCCTCAAACCCTGAGATCATCTTACATAGAAAAAGGGACAGGAACTTGTGTCCCTCTGGTCTTTGGCTCCTCACAGTCACATGTAAGGGGTCACTCATAATTTCTTACTGCTAAAGTTTCCAAATTGGAGAGAAATTAAGTTTTTGACAAATTCGCTCAGAGCCCCCCCACTTGCATTCGGTGTACTTCCCTAAGGGAGGGGGCAGGGGTTGAGGGAGAATCACCTGAAAGGTATGGCATGCCCGGGGAACATGTCACACGCGGGGAGTGGGTGGCACACTCCTCGGTCATCTCCAGAGAACTCATCAAGCACGTGCATGTTGTCAGTTACATGTGTCATGGTTGGAAAGGGGCTAAACACTGCTACCCAGGAGTGCCGTCCAGGGTGATGGCATAAAGGCAGCTTCATTGGACTGTGGTGGTCAGTTCAGCACTGAATCGCTAGGCACCAAAGAACCTGGCTCATAAGAGATGCTCAAAAAATATGTGAATGAATGAATGAACGGATGGATCAATAACGAACGGGCAGGCATTGTGCTGGGACTCAGGAGCTCATAAGAGATGCTCAAAAAATATCTGAATGAATGAATGAACGGATGGATCAATAAATAACGAACGGGCAGGCATTGTGCTGGGACTCAGGAGACCTGGGCTCCAGTCCAGCTGTTTTCCCAATTGGCTGTGTGCTCTTAGCATGCCCCTTTCCTTCTGGGGAAACTTTTCCTACCTGTAAAATGAAGAAACTGGACAGTTTGACCCATTAGGGCCCCTCCAACATTCAATTTCATCCTCATCTCCAAAACAGGAATAAGTAACAGTAGCTTCCTCAGAGGGTGTTGTGACAGGTGCCTGAGCCTACATAGGTTCTGTGGAAAACGAGTGCTAGACAAGCATGTGCTATGGTCATTACTGTCCACCCATCATCAGCCAGGGCTGGTCCAGAGAGTTAGCCCCAGCCTCACCTGTTCAGGTGCTGCCTGAGCATCAGCCCCTCCATGCTTCACCCCTCTCATAAAGTCAGATTGCCCATTAGATGTGCGTGACCCTGAGCGGGGAGCTTGATGCTGTGTCAGCCATCAACACTTGATTTAAGTCCTCAGGGCTCTTCAAGGTCAACTAGCTGAGAGAAGCTCCCTTTAGAACAACAAGATTTGCTACAGGAAAATGTTGATAAGCGAAAACGGAGAAAGAGTTTCACGATTTAGGTTTTATCAAGAAGGGACAGGATGAGAAGGATACTTTTCTCCAAACCAGAGTTTCCTTGTGTGTCTCTGGATAACAATTCTCTTTGGGGGTCTTTAAAAGGACTCTGTTTTAGAATCACAGCATTTGTGCAGATAATAAGACCCACTTGTTGTGTTTCAAGGACAAGGCCGAACGTCTTGGAAATATCCCAGGAAGTATAGTTCATGGGTTGGCTACCTGGGCCTCTGGCATATCCGATTTTAATTATGGCCTCTAGAAGAGCTACATCCTTTAAAATCTTTTTTTTCCTAGTTTTATTGAGAAATAATTGGCATACGTCACTGTATAAGTTTAAGGTGTGCAGCCTGATAGTTTGATTTATATATATTGTGAAACGATTACCACAGTAGATTTACTTAACATCCATTATCTCATATAGATACAATAATAAGAAAAGAAAAAATTTTTCTCCTTGTGATGAGAACCCCTAGGATCTACTCCTTAACAACTTTCCCATATATCATGCAGCAGAGCTAACTCTAGTCACCACTCTTTATGTCACATCCAGGGACTTATTTATCTTATAACTGGGAGTTTGTACCTTTTGACCACCTTCCTCCAACTTTTCAAACCTTAAGAACTTTATCCCCCATCACTTTGGGGTCAGGGGCAATGTCTCTAGTTAAGAACTGGCCCACAACCCTCAAATCCTATCATGCTGGTTACCACTTATCCCACAAGTTTCTAGAAAGTTCAGAAATGTCTGCGAGCTGTTCGGCCATCCCTGAAGGTTGCATAATTCTCTCCCAGGTTTACGGTTCCCGGGCTGAGGACGGGCAAGGAGTATGAGTTTTGTGTCAGGTCGGTCAGCGAGGCCGGGGTCGGTGAGAGCTCAGCCGCCACCGAACCCATCAGGGTCAAGCAGGCCCTGGGTAAGTCCGAAGGGGCAGGCGCAGCCTGCGAGCCTGGGACGCAAGCCTGGGACGCAGCCCTGCACTGGGTAGGGAGCGGGGGCTGATACATCACGAATTGGAGGGTCTCATCCCAGAGGCTGATGGGAATAAGTCCCCCAAGAAAAGCTGGCACTGACTCTGACCACCCTGTCCTTTGGGAAGGAAGTAACAATGGTCTGGGGCTGTGCAGTGAAGCCTGACCAGCTCTGAGGCCCAGGTGCCCTCCAGGGGGCAGAGACAGGGTTCCTGGCAGGCACTGCTGGCTGTTAGTATCCCCGGAGCTGGGTGGGTGCCCACCGGGGAAGGCTTGATGGCTTCCTTGGCCCCCACTGCCCCTGGCCTCACCTCCTTGCCTCCCCATAGCTACACCATCTGCTCCATATGACTTCATCCTCCTAAACTGTGGGAAAAATGATATGGTCATTGGATGGAAACCTCCCAAGCGCCGTGGAGGTGGCAAGATCCTGGGCTACTTCCTGGACCAGCACGACTCAGAGGAGCTGGACTGGCATCCGGTCAACCAGCAGCCCGTTCCCACCCAAGTCTGCAAGGTAAGGCTGGAATGTGGCCACCAGCCAGGTGTCCTGACCTGGGCGGATGGAGACGGAAGGTCACTTTTGGAATGAGGCTCTCAGAGTTCTGGCCTCGGTAATCCAGCTTATTTCCTAGTGCAGATCCGCTTGACCAATCTCGTTTAAAGGCCCCACGGATCTCCTGTTCTAAACCTCTCCCCTTGCTGCTGTACGTACCTCTTCCCCTTCATCCCTAGCCTTGGCTTTCAGTCTGTTTCTGCTCTTCAAGGTCAGTAACCTTCGTGAAGGCCACTTCTATGAGTTCCGTGCCCGGGCGGCAAACTGGGCAGGTGTTGGTGAGCTGTCGGCGCCCAGCAGCCTGTTTGAGTGCAAAGAGTGGACAATGCCCCAACCAGGTGAGAGGCCGGGAGGTGCTAGGCCTCAGCACCCTCTCTCTCCCCAAATCTAACTAATGAGACGAACAACACCGAGCTCTCTGTGCATTCACGCTTGATCTGTTGGTCCCAGACACCAGCCAGACCCCTGGCTCCTCCATCAAGTGACCTTGTAAACTCTGACACAGACCATCTTAATCCTGCCTTAGAGGATCCCTAACCTTGGCCACCAGCTGACCCAGTTCCCCCAGCACAAACTATCCTCTAGCTCGACACATCATCTGAGCTCTGCTTCTGGCCACAGGCCAATCTCAAATCCCAAAGACACACTGCTAGGGTGACCAACTCATCTCAGTTTGCCCAGGACTTTCCTGATTTTACCACTGAAAGTTCCACACCCCAGTTCCTGGACAAACAGGGAGGGCTGGTCGCCCTACACACCACTCCCACAGCCCCATTAGCTTTCTCAAAAATGAGTTCCTCACCTCCCCACAGGAAGGGAGGATCACAACCTTCTATCATCCTGTTCAGCTTGGTTCCATTTTCTACACAAAACCTTTACTTGAATGGCAGATAATAAGTATGTGTGATGTGTTAGACAATAATTATATTTACTGGGTACTTACTACGTACTGACAATTTCCACAAATTATGTCATTAATGCTCACAACAGCACTATATTATAGGAACCATTATTATCCTCATTTTACAAATGACGAGACAGGAACATAGAGGCTAAGTAACTTGCTCAGAGTCCCCACAGCCTGAAAGGGGGGAGCTGGGACATGAGTCCTGGTGATCTGACTCTGAAGGTCACAGCCGTAGCCCCTACACCAAACACTGAAATAGCAGACATTGGAAGGATTAATGCTCAATGGAACGGGAGTGGGAGGTTCAGGGATACTTCAGAAGGAAATGATGCTGAGATAACCCTATTTCGGGCCCAGGTCAAGCTTTGTTATGATGCCAAGCCTGGCCAGGTCCCCACTATACCTGGAGCAGGTGCTTGCAGACCTGGTTGTGACTGACAGATTGACAAGCTTGCCAACTGACCACTCAGCTCAATACCTGGCTGGCTGGCCATCTGGCTGTCTAGCTGGTTGCCTAGCTGCCCAGCCCCTTCTCTGCTCCATCTCCCACAGGTCCCCCATATGATGTACGAGCATTTGAAGTGCGAGCCACCTCCCTGATGCTGAAGTGGGATCCCCCACTGTACACAGGGGCCGGGCCGGTCACAGGCTACCGCATCAGTTTCCAGGAAGAAGGCTCCGAGCAGTGGAAGCCAGTCACCCCAGATCCCATCTCTGGCACCCACCTGAGGGTGAGTCCCTGCCCCCTTCATCCTCTGACTCACTCTGAGCCTTCCCTGCCACTGGACGTGGCAGGACTACAGAACATCAGAGCTGAAATAACCCTCAGGGATGACTGCCCTCACTTAATGGCAGCAGAGGACTAGAAACGGGGAGTGGCTCACCCAGGGTGACACAGTGAGTTGGTACTAGATCTGGCTGGCTGGTAGACAACCTGTTCCACTCTGGACAGACTCCCCACTGAAAACGCACTTGTAATCAGCGAGGTGTATCAGTGTTTGGATATGTTCATCCCTTGAGCCAGGAATTCTGCTTCAAGAATTGAATTGTAGAAAAAGAATTAAGCAAGTGTGCAAAGATCTAAGGACCACAATGCTCATTTCCGCATTGTTTGTAAAGGCACATTTTGGAAACAACTTAAACGTCCTTTAGTAAGGAGTTTGCCTAAATAAACCATAACGTATCTTTAAAGTGGAGCCCTGTGCCAGGTAGGATAAAGACTACAGGGGCGTGAGGAGTGACGATAGGATAGTAGATGAGGTAGACCTACGTGATCGTATTGACATGACAGTATATCCATCATATGTATGTTTCTTAATTTAAATGAGGAACAAACTCTAAGCTCTTTGGATATATGAGAAATCTGGCAGAATCGCTGATTTTTTTCACCTGTAGGGGAAAAGAAAGCACAGTCTTCCCCTGGCACAACAAAGACGACTCACAAATATTTCACGGGCCAGAAAACAAAAGTGTCGACTGAAGAAGCATCCTTAGCAGACATCAATGACTCCCTTGGACAATCCATGAGCATCACAGACTTCCAGGTCACCAGGCCACTTACTTCCACAGGCCTTGGCAACCATTTCTGAAGCCAGCGTGTCTCGCATGCCTCCTTTGTCTAAGGAACATTTGTCAGGACAGTTCTGTGATGTGGATTAGATTTCATTTTTTGCAGTCCAGGGAAAAAGGGAATATTTTCTCCAACTCCTTTTCCTGAGGTGTCTTTCACCAGCAGGCAGGAGGGCGTGCGGTTTTCAAAACCACACGTTAGCATTCTGTTAGTTAGCACCAAGAGCAAAGAAGGCCTGCTGAAGAAGCCCCAAGCAATGTGGAAAGAGTAAGAAACTAACCAACAGACTGCTGCTCATGTCATGTGTCTACATGGATTATGTGCATTTAAAAGTAAATGGATGCTCTCAGAAGCTAAGCAGGGTCGGGCCTGGTTAGTACTTGGATGGGAGACCACTAAGGAATACCAGGAGCTGTAGGTGTTTAAAAAAAAAAGAAAGAAAGAAAAAGAAAGTAAATGGATGCTTACAAAATTGTTAATTCTGGTCACCTCTGGGAGTGGGACTGCCAGGGGAGCTTTAATCCTTCATTTGATATTTTTCTCTATTGCTTTAATATTTTTTCCCAACAAGCATGTATTTTTTTTTTTATATTCAGAGAAAATAAAAATTATTTTACTTGAAAAAATAACATCGAAGCCACCTAAGAGAGAATCAAGGAGGACAAGCCTCGGCCAGTGGAATGCTCTGAGATGGTGCAGTGTCCACCTGCACGAGGCCAGGCTTCCTGCAGTAGAGTTGGCCAGTACTGTACAGCTGGCCAGAAAGAGCCACTTGCGATGAGTGGCCTCCGCCTCCCCACATAGGTTGGCCCAGGCCAGGGTGGGGCAGGCCTCAGTGACTCGGCACCATTTCTGAGTATGGATGGTTGGCTGGCATTCACTCACTCGGTCATTCACTAAACACTTCTTGACACCTACTAAGTGCCAGGTCTCTAGGCATAACCACTGTTGGGTGACAGGCAATTACGATACTGTGTATTATACAGTGGATGAGGACCTGAGGGATTCTGGGAGCTCCAAAGAGGAAGGTCAGAGACCTTCCTGGAATCCTCGCCTCCACCCGTGCTGATGGGTCAAGGATGAGTTGGAGTTAGCGAGACCAAGAAGGAGGGGAGGGAGTTCCAGGCAGAGAGCTCACAGCAGGGCCAAAGGCAGGCAGGTGTGAAATAATGTGGGGACGCCGAGGAAGACATGGAGTGGAGGGAGCAGCGAGAGGAGAATGAGGACAGAAGGCTAAATTGGGAGTTTAGATACTAAATCTTGAAATCTGAACTTTACCCTGAAGGCCACTGAAAGATTTAAGCATAATCACACTGACATCTTGGAAAGATAGACCAGAGGGGAAGATAGACCAGGAAGAAGGGCCTAGAGGCAGAGATGCCATTTAGGAAACTGTTGGACTAATCCAGGTGAGAAGAAATAAAGCCTCAGTGGAGGCCGTGGCTGGGAAGTTAGGGAAATAAAATGAGAACTCGGTGATTGGATGTGTGAAGCTCACGAAAAAGGTGTCCAAGATGATCCTCAGGCTTCTCTTCTGAGGTAATGAACGGAGGAGAGATGGGGGTGCAGGAAAGGAGAGGGTTTTCTTGTTGGCAGGTGGATGATGAGTTGAGCTCTGAGCAGGTGGAGTTCCAGGTGCCACAGGCATGGAGATCATCCCAATGGAGACCCACTAAAAAGTGGAACTCAGGAGAGCAACGTGCTCCTGGCCCCAGGGCAGCCTGGGCTCTCCCAGGGTTCCACAAACACTACGGGCAGGGTTTGGGGAAGAGTGAGTGTTTCTGTCCTCGATGCTCACTCTTGCCTCCCTCCTCTTTCCCGATCCCCATCCCCAGATTTCTGACCTGCAGCCGGGGAAGAGCTATGTGTTCCGGGTGCAGGCCCTGAATTCAGCTGGTCCAGGGCAACCATCCATGCCCACTGACCCCATACTCCTGGAGGACAAGCCAGGTAGGGGCAGGTGGAGGATGCCAGCATCTCTGCTGGGCTGTGCCATCCAGGAGGGTCTCAGAGAAGGGTTGGGAGGAGCATGTGGATCTGCAGGACAGGACCTGCTGGGCCCACCCCCCACCACCCCTCCACACTTTCTTTCCTTTCTGTCTGTTTCTCTCCCCATTCCCCACTCCTATGTGTGTGGGGGGGTCCCACGATATGAACAAATCTTTTCCTTCTCTTCGATGGGGTCTTCCATTCTTTCACATGCCACATTCGTAAAAAAATATCAACTCTTCGTGGATATTTAAATCATACCCAACTCCACTGAAGACGACACCACAGAAGACTTTTCCTGTCCTGCACTCACAACTCCTGAGGTCCCCTCCTACCACACACGCCAGATGCCGTGCTAGGTCCTTACACTGCCCTAGCCCTCCCAACAAGCCCCTGAGGGTGCCATTATTTTGCCGTTATTGTAGCTTGGAGAGGTGAGGTCACACATCTGGTACTTGATGGAATCACTCAGTTCCCCTAGCTATAAAGCATATCGCTTTTCATTCTTATAATTATTCATTCATCCAACAAATATTTGGCGACACCCACATTGCACTGGGGATGCAACAGCGGTGACAAAGCAACGTCCCTGCTCTAGGGTGGGGGAGGGCAGGACAGATGGACAGTAAACAAGTCAACAATTACCTGAAGAAGACAGCGATAAGTGCTCTAAAGGGAATGAAACAGAGCGGTATGGTGGGGCGAGGGCTACTTTAGCCAGGGAGGTCAGGGAGGGCTTCTCTGAGGAGGTGACATTTGAGCCGAGAAGGAGACAGATTCTGCAAGGCCTTGGAGGCTACAGCAAGAAGTCTGAGTTATTATTTTATTCAAGTGCAATAGGCAGATACTGGAGGGTTTCAGCAGGGGAGGGGCATGACCTGGTTTATTATTTAGAAATGTCTGACACCCTCTGTTGGATCTTGTCCTCAGATGCCCCAGAGATCAAGGTTGGTGTGGATGAGGAGGGCTTTATCTACTTGGCTTTCGAAGCCCCCGAGGCCCCCGACTCCTCCGAGTTTCAGTGGTCCAAGGACTACAAGGGCCCGCTAGACCCCCAGAGGGTCAAGATCGAGGAGGAAGTCAACAAGTAAGTGAGGGGAGAGGGGCAGCACGGCTTGTCCACAAGTGCCAAGTTTTGTCAGATGAGTTGGCAGAAAATCATGGGTGAGGTCACCCAATAGGACCTTCAGATAATGAATGGGCTTAAGAGGGGCTGCTTGGTGTCTCATGGAGGAGGCTGACTTCCATTTGGTACGGTGCATTTGGTACGGTGCATTTAAGGGGCTGAAATGGCAACATTTACTTGGAGATTCTTTTTCTGTAAGAAATGGCATGTGCCTCAGTGTCAGTGCTCCGAGGAGATGCTCAGTACTTAGTTTCTAGCCAGGGTGCCTTTGACTTGTTCTTGCAGCTTCTCTGGGCTCAGCATCCTCATCTGTAAAAACAGGGGTCATTGAAGGTGCCAGGCCACAGCTGCCTTGGGCAGGGGACCCCGAGGAGGGATGAGGAGGCAGCCGCCCCTGCTTCGGGCCTGGGGGTGGACTGCAGGGCCTCCACAGCTGACTGAGACTCTCAGCTCCCAGGCCTCCAGTGCACAAGGCCCCTCTCAGAGTCTCTGCTCTCCTCTCTCTGCCAGGTCCAAGGTCATCCTGAAAGAACCTGGCCTCGAGGATTTGGGTACCTACTCGGTGGTGGTCACCGACGCGGATGAAGACATCTCAGCGAGCCACACGCTAACGGAGGAAGGTAATACCTCTCACTTCACTGCCACCTCCCCAGAGAGACAGGACAGGATGGAGAGTCCCAAACACAAGTGCCCCCAGAGGCAGGCAAGAAGCAACAGAAATTAATAAAGCAGTGATTTCCAGAGAAGTAGGCCCTCACCCACCCATTCAGTCAGCCAGTCAATTAGTTAATATCTAGTGAGGGCACCTGCCATAAGCCAGACACTGTCTTAGACCCTGCAGATTACATTCATGAACTCGACAGGCAAAAATCCCTGCCCGGCGAAGTTCACATACCTCCTGTCTCTCTTCCCTTTTTCTATTTTTGATAAAAGCAAAGGTACCAGAATTTTGTCACTTCTAAACACACACACACACACACTCACAGAGTTTTTCTGAGAAATGAGGATGGATGGCAACAGGGAGCAGTGGGGACTATGACAAACCTGAGGACAGATGCTGTGTCTAAAGGATCATCCATGTTTGATGATTTAAACAAAACTGAGATCAGTGCTGATGGCTGATGAGACTCATGCTCTACTATCTCCATAGCAACCCAGGGACAGCCCACTGTCTTCCCTGATGACTGCACATGAGGCCCTTTGATTTTGTTAAGAAGCAGAAGCCAGACAGACCCAAATCCACAATTTTCTGCCTGTTCGATTTTGAGCAAGTCATGTCACCTCTCTGGGCCTCAGTTTCCTCGTTTGTAAAGGAGGATTATAATCCTTGGCTGCCCCAACTGAAACAATGTTATGCAGATACATTTAGATGATTCTATGCAAACTAAAGCTGTCAACAAAAGGGATGGGTTTGGGGGTTTTGTTTCGTTTTGACTGGATTCTTGTCATGTGTTTAGACTCATCATGCTAAGGACCTTGGGCTTACAAGGGAAAATTAGTATGGGCTCTGTCCCTGCCAATTCAGCCAGGTAATACATATTTATTGAGCACCTACTATGTGCCACTCCTGTAGGCCCAGAGCTCAGGTTAGCAGGAGAGACAAACCTGACACAAAGAAGCAGTTAGCAAATGAGACAGCATTCTGCAGAACTGCCCTAGAGACTCTTAGACTAAAAGTGCTTACTTAGTACAGGCGCCAGACCCTCAGAGACTAGGACAGCATCCTGCAGTGGATTAAGAATAGGGCTCGGGAACCAGCGGGCCTGGAGCAGTCAGAGGTGGGCAATGATGCTCACTCCAGAGCATTGTGTGAAAACCAGTGAGAAAATGCAGCAGCGCCTGGCTGCATAGTTGGCACTTCTCTGCAGAGGTGGCACCTGATCTCAAGGCTGGCTGTAGCAGCGCCCCCGCCACAGCCGCCTCAGTGCCCCAAGGCCAAGGCCAAGGCCAACAGTGCTCATTACCAACCCCTGTCTTGCAAGTGACCGGGGCGAGGGGGGTGTCTCTTGGGACTTTCACTGAGCATGCACCCTGGGATGGCTCCCACAGACCCCACTGGCCCCAGTATTTCATTCTCTTTGGTTTCTTCCTTGCTCCCCCCATCTCAGAGCTGAATAAGCTGAAGAAGTTGAGCCATGAGATTAGAAACCCAGGTAAGCAATCCAAGCCACCTGCCTTGTACGGCTCCCATGGGGGCCCACTGGGTTGTCTAGAGCAGAGTTGAGTCAGTGAGAGCCAAGAACTGTGGGCGGAGGGC